TGGAGGAGTGGGGACCCCGGGCTTGGGGACCCCCGGTCTCTGCCCTGCCCGGGCAGGTGGGACCCCTGCCACCAGCGTGGGTTCCTCCGGGTCTGTCCCCCTCTCCCACGGGACACCGAGACAGGGACCAGCGCCGCTGCCATCCCCCTGCCACGGAGAGGTGGGTCAGCAGCAGCGTAAAGGGCTTCGCGGGTTTTTTTTGGTTTTCTTCCAGGAGTAGAGTGCAAAGCTCCTCTGGAGACACCCACGTTTGGGGACATCTACCACGTCACAGGTACCGCTTAGGGACGGGGCGTCCCTCTGGGATGGTGGCCACGGGTGGGAGCAGGGGGGCGATGCCGCGGGGTGCCGGGGTGCTCCCTGCCTTCCCCACGCTCCTCTCCCTGCTGTGGGCTCGGGGCAGGGGGACAGGGGATGTCCCCGGGGCTCAGCTCCCCCCCAAACCCGGTCCCCTTGTGCCCGCAGGAGTCATCAGCCTGCCCTACGCGGAGATCAGGGAACCCTTCGAAGCCTGGTACAACCTCACCGGGGGGAAGAGCCGCATCGAGTACTACGGCGGTGGGTGCAGAAAGGGCTCCATCCCCCCGACCCCTCACCACCTCCCTCCTTCTGCCCCAGCACCTTCGGGTGCCCCGGCAAAGCCCTGGGAGCCACCACCGCGGCGGGGCCGGGGGGCTCGGCTTGACCTTAGCGCTGTCCCCATCTCCAGGCCAAGTGGTCACCTACCAGTTTGGCTCCATCGAGCCCTTCGGCGCCAGCTTCAAGGTGACTCCCGAGACCACCGAGACGGAGGTCAACGTCCGCAAGTGCTTCCGAATCAACGGCACCGACGGGGACCTCGTCGCCCCGCAGAGCGTCTTCCCCAGCCTGGAGAACTTCAAGGTGAGCACTGGGCATGGTCCTCCAGGATGCGGGATGGGACAGGGGAGGGGACAAGGGACCCTGTGGGTACAGCGTGTGTGACATCCACCTCCCTACGAGGGCAGAGCCGCCTTCCCTGGCTGGGAACGGGTAAATATAAGGTTGGATGTGGTCACGGGTGATGGAGGTGGAGGGGTTGCATCCAGCGTGGCATGATGCAGGATGGGGTGAGGTGCCCCAGCTCACCGGAGGCACGGTGCCGGCGTGGCACCCCGGTCCCCAACACCTCTACTGTCCCCAGTGGGTGCGGGAGGAGCGGTTCCGCGGGCAGCGCTGCGCCGTCTGGCAGAACGTCTCCTACTGGGGCCACAAGAAGAACGTCTACACGCTGCGGGTGGGCAGCTCGGCCCGCGGCCCCGTACCCCTGCACTACGAGGTGCGGGGCTTCAACAGCCTCCTGGGCTCCCACTACGACAAATACGAGATCGATTACTCCTCCTTCAGCCACCGCTTCCCCCCCGGCATCTTCCGTCTCCCCGAGGGTGAGTGTCCCCGGTCACCGCGCAGCTCAGCCTGCGGCCGGCGCTGCCACCAAAATGCAGCACCGCTTCCACCTTTTTAATCTGTTTTTCTTTTTTTTTTTTATTGTTTTATTTGGTCGGGGGGTTGTTGTTGGGTTGTTTATTGTTTTGTTTGGGGTTTTTTTTTTTCTTGATAATTTAGGTGAGTTGATTTGGCTGGGAGAAAAAGTAGAAATGTAATTTGAAAAAAAAAAAAAAAAAAGGAGAAATGTAATTAATGTTGATAGGTGGGGTGATGCGGGTGTTTTGCCGGTACCGGCTCCTCCGTGCCGGAGTGCAGGGTGCTGGGTGGGATTGTGGGTGCTCC